TTGACAGCTCTAGATAAAACACCCAAACAGAAAATCAATAAAGAAATAATGCCTTTAATTACATATTACACCAAACAGACATAATTGATTTTTACAGAACCTTCCATCCCAGAACATCAGATTATACATTCTTCTCCAGTGCAAATGGAACATTCTGAAGGATAGACCATATGTTGGGACACAAAACTAGCCTCAACAAATTTAAGAAGACTGAAATCATATCAAGCATATTCTCTGACCACAATGCTTTGAAATTAAAAATAAAGTGCATAAAGGAAGAAAAAACAAACCCACAAGTAGATGATTAAACAACATACTACTAAAAATTGGCTGTTTCAAGGAAGAAATAAAAGGTGAGATTAAAAAATATAGAGAGCCCTGGACAGTTTACTCAGTGGTTAGAGCAATGGCCTGCAGACTGAAGGGTTGCAGGTTTGATTACTAGCCCCAGTCAGGGTCATAGAGAAGGCAACCAATCAATGTCTCTCTTTCTCTCTCTCTCTCTCTCTCTCTCTCTCTCTCTCCCTCCCACCCTCCCTCCCTCCCTCCCTCAGTGCCTCCTTCCCATTCTCGCTAAAAAGAAACTCAATGGAAAAGTATCCTCAGGTGAGGATTAACAACAACAACAACTACCCTGCTCACATCACTGGCTAGATCCTCTAGACAAAAAATTAACAAGGACACACAGACTCTAAATGATGCACCAAATCAAATGGACTCAATAGATATCTACAGAGAATTACACCCCAATATTTACATTCTTATCAAGTGCACATGGGACATTCTCAAAAACAGACATGTTAGGACAGAAACAAAGTCTCTATAAGTTCAAGAAGACTGAAATCATATGAAGCATCTTCTCAGATCACAATGGCATGAAACTAGAAATTAATTACAACAAAAACACACAAAAACATTCAAACATATGGAGACTAAATAGCATGTTATTAAGCAATCAATGGGTTACCAAGGAGATCAAGGAAGATATTAAAAAATTCCTGAAAACCAATGAAAATGAACACACAACAACACAAAATCTATGGGATGCAGCAAAAGCAGTCCTAACAGAGAAGTTCAGAGCACTACAGGCCTACCTCAAGAAACAAGAAAAATTTCTAATTGACTATCTAACATTATAATTTAAAGAATTAGAAAGTATACAAAAAGAAAAACCCAGAGCAAGTAGAAGAAAAGAAATAATAAAGGTCAGAGCAAAAATAAATGACTTAGACACTAAAAAAAAAAAAGAAAACAAAAGAAAACAAAAGAAAACAAAAGAAAAGAAATTCAAAAGATCAGTGAAACAAAGAGCTGGTTCTTTGGAAAGATAAACAACATGGATGGCCCTTAACGAGACTCACCAAGGAACAAAGAGAAGACCCAAATAAATAAAGTCAAAAATGAAGGAGGAGAACTAACAACTGACACCACAGAAATACAAAGGATCATTTAAAAATACTATGAATAATTATACACCAACAAATTGGACAATCTAGGTGAAATGGACAAATTTCTAGAATCACACACTCTCCCAAAACTGAACCAGGAAGGGATAGAAAACTTGAACAGACCAATAACAACTAAGGAAATTGAAGATGTAATCAAGAAACTCCCAGCAGACAAAAGTCCAGGCCCAGACAACTTCACAGGGGATATATACCAAACAGTCAAAGAACTAACAGCCATTCTCCTGAAACTATTAAAAAAAATTCAAGAAGAAGGAAGACTTCCAAACTCGTTTTATGAGGCCAGCAGAATTCTAATTCCAAAACCAGATAAAGACACTACAAAGAAAGAAAACTACAGGCCAATATCCCTGATGAAAATAGATGCTGAAATCCTGAAAAAAGTATTAGTAAATCAAATCCAGCAATACATCAAAAAAATTATTCACCATGAGCAAGTGGGATTTATCCCAGGGATGCAAGGCTGGTACAATATTTGCAAATCAAATAAATGTGATACACCACATAAACAAAATGAAAGATAAAAACCATGTGATCATATCAATAGATGCGGAAAAAGCATTTGGCAAAATCCAGCACCCATTTCTGATAAAAATGCTCAGCTGGGAATAGAGGAATCATATCTCAACATAATAAAGACCACATATGGCCCCACTGGTGTGTCTCAGTTGTTGAGCAACGCCCCACGCACCAAGAGGTCACTGGTTTGCCCGGCCAGTGTGGCTCAATGGTTAAGCAATGACCCATTCACCAAGAGGTCACCAGTTCGATTCCCGGCCATGGCACATGTCCAGGTTGTGGGACAAATCCACAATGGGGGGCATGCAGGAGACAGCCAATCGGTGTTCTCTCTCATTGATGTTTCTGTCTCTCTCCTCCCTTTCTCTCTCTCTAAAAAAAAAAAAAAAAAATTAAATAAAGACCATATATGAAAAACCTACAGTCAACATCATACTCAATGGGCAAAAATTAAAAGCATTTCCCTTAAGAACAGAAATAAGACAGGGATGCCCACTTTTGCCACTCTTATTTAACATAGTACTGGAAGTCTTAACCACAGCAATTAGAGATGAAGAAAAAATAAAAGGGATCCTAATTGGAAAGGAGGAAGTGAAACTGTCATTATTTGCAGATGACATGATATTGTACATAGAAAACCCTAAAGACTCCATAGAAGATCTACTATATTTGCCTGGCCAGTGTGGTTCACTGGTTGAGTGTCGACCCATGCACTAAAAGGTCACTGGTTCGATTCATGGTCAGGGCACATGCCCAGGTTGTGGGCGTGATCCCCTGGGGGGGGGCATGCAGGAGGTGGCCAATCAGAGTTCTCTCTCATCAATGTTTCTATCTCCCTACCCTTCCTCTCTCTCTCTCTAAAATCAATAAAGAAAAAAACATTTTTAAATCTACTAATTTAATAAATGATCTGGCAAAGTAGGAGGTGGAGGCATATACCTTATTCATGTATTGGAAGACCTAACAACATTAAAATATCCATACTACCCAAAGCAATCTATAGATTCAATGCAATCCCTATTAAAATACCAACAAAATATTTCACAGAACTAGAACAAATACTCCAAAAGTTTATACAGAACCAAAAAAGATCCCAAATAGCCACAGCAATATTGAAAAAGAAGAACAAACTACAAAGAATCACAATACCGGATATCAGGTTATATTACAAAGCCATTGTAACCAAAACAGTCTGGTACTGGCACAAAAACAGGTATGTAGATCAATGGAACACAACAGAGAACCCAGAAATTGACCCAAGACATTATGCTCAATTAATATTTGACAAAGGTGGCAAGAGCACACAATGGAGTAAACACAGCCTCTTTAATAAATGGTGTTGGGAAAATTGGACAGCTACATGCAAAAAAATAAAACTAGACCACCAACTTACACCATACACAAGAATAAACTCAAAATGAATAAAAGGCTTAAATGTGACACATGAATCCATAAAAATCCTAGAAGATAATGTACACAATTTCAGACATCATATACAGCAGAATTTTCACTGATAAAACGCCTAAGGCAAGAGAAACAACGGAAAAAAATAATGCATGGGATTACATCAAACTAAAAAGCTTCTGCACAGCAAAAGAAACAAGCATCAAAATGAAAAGGGAACCCCTTTATATGGGAGAGCATAACTGCCAACGATACATCAGTTAAGGAGTTCATTTCCAAAATACATAGAGTACTCATACAACTCAACAAAAGGAAGACAAAGAACCCAATTTAAAAATGGGCAGAAGACCTAAATAGATACCTCTCCAAACAGGACACACTAATGGCCAAGAGACATATGAAAAAATGCTCAACGTCACTAATCATCACAGAGATGTAAATTAAAATGACTATGAGGTATCACCTCACACCTGCCAGAATGGCTGCCATCAACAAATCATCTAACAACAAGTGCTGGCCAGAGTGTGGAGAAAAGGGGACTCTAGTACACTGCTGGTGGGAATGCAGACTGGTGCAGCCACTTTAGAAAACACTATGGGCCCTGGCCGGTTTGGCTCAGCGGTTAGAGCATCAGCCTGCGGTCCAGAGAGACCCGGGTTCGGTTCTGCTAAGGGCGCGTACCTCGGTTGCATTATGTCCCCAGCCCTGGTTGGTCGTGCGGGTGGCAGCCACTCGATGTGTCCCTTTAGCGTCGATGTCTCTCTCTCTCTCTCTCTCTCTCTCTATCTCTCTCTCTCTCTCTTCCTCTCCCTCCCTCCCACTCTATCTGAACAAAAAATGGAAAAATGTCCTCGGGTGAGGATAAAAAAAAAAAAAAAGAAAACACTATGGTGTTACCTCAAAAAAGTAAAAACTGAATTGCCATTTGACCCAGTGATCCCACGTCTAACCCTAAGAAGCCTGAAACACCAATCAGAAAGAATATATGTACCCCCATGTTCATAGCAGCACTGTTTACAATAGCTAAGATCTGGAAACAGCCCAAGAGTCCATCAGTAGACAAATGGATAACAAAGCTGTGGTACATATACACAATGGAGAATATGCAGCTGTAAGAAAGAAAGATCTCTTATCCTTTGAGACGACATGGAGGGACCTGGAAAGTATTATCCTAAGCGAAACAAGCCAAACAGAGAAAGACAAGTATCATATGATCTCACTTATTTGTGGAATATAATGAACATAACAGTCTGAGGAATGGGGTAGTCCCAGAGACGTGGAAGGGGGGTACAGACTGACAATCCCCAGAACAGGGGGTGGTGGGGGAGAGATAAACCACAGAACTTATATGCATGTATGCATGAACAAAGGTCATGGACAACAAAGCTGGGGACAGGGTGGGGAGGGAGAGGGGAGGGGGGAATCAATGGGGGGAAAAGGAGAAACATCTGTAACAAAAATTAATTAATTAATTTTTAAAAAAAGAAAAATGCGTAAATACATATTTATTATCTTTTTTCCTATTGTTTTACTTCCAGGACTTCAAAGATACTAAAAATAATACAGAATAAAAGATTAGTAATTTTACAGTCTTTTAAAATACTAATTTACCTGTCGACATCACTATTTTAGATGACCCAGGACTGGGATCCTTATATTCAACACCACGGCCTCTGGTCAGCATCCTTACAGAAGTTGAAGATGTGGAACACACAACAGGAATAGATTTTTCCTGTTTTAAAATAAAATCAAAAACACAATATACATTATCTTTTAAAACATTCCTAGATAAGGAGGTCAGAAAATTATTGACATAACTGGTCCACAAATGATCGTTGCCAGAAGTCCTCAGGGTTGGAAACCCCTGTGTGTGTGTCAAACTGCAGTACTTTCCACACTCTGCTTGCTCCTCAGAGGGGCCCATGATCCGGTCAGGTGAGGAAGAGAGAGACCAAGAGGCTGAGATTCTCAGTGCTACCCCTGCTCCAACTGGTCACACCTTAGTCAAATTAGTTCACTCTGTAAAATGTGTTTTATTTTTTGAAGTCACCTGTTTTTTCACACTGCTAAAGAAAAGTCTGTAAATCTAATCCAGCAATACATCAAATGTGGGTGAGGGACCTCAACAAGACAGAGGTATCTTTAGAAAGCACTCACTCATCTGGTTTTTAAGGTATCTAGTCTGCATTTTTCCATATTACATATGATAATTCTGACATTACAAGTAGCTTGTATACAAAATTAGGCCTATTGTATATAAGAACCAAATGTACTCTGGGGCATTATTAAACATCACTAATGCTTTATTTTATATCAACTCTTGAGGTTTTCTTGGAGCTATTTCAAATATGGTTCTCCAATATCAGAGAAGAGGCTCTTGTGCCTAGAAAAAGTAATTATAGAAATATTTAAAAGGCAGGAATAAAGGAGGAAAAAATACGATTAGCATTCAATGTTGCTGGATTATTCTTTATTTGTTTAAATTAATGACTGTCATTTGGATTCACAGCATTCTAGTAAACCATGTTAATTTTAAAGTATTAAATTACAATTACTGTGTTGATATTTCTTGTTCTTTCAATATTTTAAAAATCTGAAATCTGAATTCTTTGACTTAAAACATACCAAAATAGTATGTTTGCATTGCCATGATAAATAAACGTACATTTATTTTGAAAATGTGTTTCTATACCTATGGAATCCTTTAAGAGGGGGATGAAAATAGCTGACAAAGGAAAGAGTTTATTGCAAGAATAATTCTTACTTTAGTTCAAAGACTTTCTAAATAACTGAACTATGACATGGCAGTATTGAAACAGGGAAATAAGTAACTATGAGAATTTTAACTTTTCATAATGAAATAATGAAACTGGAGAAGAGGAAAGGGAATTGAAATACTTCCTTTGAAACAAAAATTAGTTTATTATCCAAAAATGATAGTATCTGTCCCTTGACCCTCCCTGCCACTATATAAACAATCTCTTCAAAATTGTCAAATTGACATGGGAATTATTTCAAAATAAAGAAATCAAGAGAAAATTTTTGGAGTTATCTTCTATCATCACCATTACACCAACTAATCATAAAGACTTTTTCAGAAGCTTGAAAATATGCATTTTCAAGTGACACCCTTGATCCATTTTGACTTTTAAAATGCATTTAAAATATTATTTCCCTTTAAATTTCATTAACTTTTCTTATTTTTATATAATTTATTTTTAACTTGATCTAATAATTTACATTAGAATAATCTTATTTGATTTTTCAATGTTTCTAATTTTATCTTTAAAATATATTCGGTTTTACTGACTTTTTATTTTATAAATTTTGAATGCTTTTAAAAATAAAAATATCAGTATTAATATAAGTATTTTAAATTAAAATGGTATTGTCATTTTGCTCCATACTGTAAACAGTTGAAAACAAAAATGTTTCTATCTACTGGTGTCAAATGGCTGAACTCAGAAATGTTTAAGATAATACTCCTAAAATTTAATTCGGTTCTAATAGATCTAGGAAGGTTATATGTCTTTATATTTACAGTGTATCTCTTATCGACAGGATTTATTTTGGTCTTTTAAAAAATCAATTATGACCCTAGCCAGTTTGGCTCAGCAGTTGGAGCATCGGCCCATGGTCCAAAGAGTCATGGGTTCAGTTCCAGTCTGGGGCATGTATTTCAGTTGCGGTTCAGTCCCTGGCCCTGGTCGCGGTCGTGCAGGAGGCAACCAATCAATGTGTCTCTCTCTTACAACAATGCCCCCCCTTCCCTTCCTCCGTCCTTCCCACTCTATCTGAAGGTAAATGGAAAAATATCCTTGGGTGAGGATTTAAAACAAAAAAATCAATTTTGATAAGCTCTGTCTTTTTTTAATTGAATTTATTGGGGTGGCATTGGGTCACAAAACCATACAGGTTTCAAATGTACAACTCAATAAAACATCATCTGCATATAGCACCATCCACCCATTGCCCCAAACAAAGTCTCTTTCTATCCCCATTCTCCCCACACTCCCCCCACCATATTGCCTACCTCCTCCTACCCTCCACACCCCTTCCCCTCTGGCTATCACCACACTGTTGTCTGTGTCTATATGATATATATTTTTATGCTTAATCCCTTCATCTTCTTTTTTTTTTTTTTTTCATCCTCACCCGAGGACATTTTTCCATTTTTTGTTCAGTGTGGAAAGGGGGGGGGGGGAGAGAGAGAGAGAGAGAAACATTGATGTGAAAGGGACACATCGAGTGGCCGCCTCCCACAGGGCCCAACCAGAGCCAGGGACAAACCGCAACTGAGGTATGTGCCCTTAGCAGGAACCAAACTAGGGTCTCTCTGGACCACAGGCTGACACTCTAACCGCCGAGCCAAACTGGCCAGGGCCCTTCACCTTCTTAAACTCTGTCTTTTAATTAGAGAGTTTAGTTCACTAATTTTTTTTAAATTAATCCTCATCTGAGGATATTTTTTCAACTGATTTGTTTAGAAAGAGTGGAAGGAAGAGAGAAATGGAGGGAGGGAGGGGGGAGAGACAGACAGACAGACAGAGACAGAGACATACACCTCAACTGGTTGCCTCCTGCACATGCCCCAACTGGGGTAGGGGACCAAATTTGCAACCCAGGAACATGTCCTTAACTGGGAATCAAACCCACAACCCTTCCATGTGCGGGCCAATGCTCTAACCACTGAGCTACACTGGCCAGGGCTAAAGTAATTATTAATATGTTTATGTCTGGGTCTAGCATTTTCTATTTGTCTCCTCTGTGTTTTGCTCCTCTATTCCTCCTTCTTATTTTTTTATTATTACTTAAATATGCCTTAGAACTCCATTTTAATTTTCCCAATAGCTTTTTAAGTAATGCTTCTTTGCATTTGTGTTTTTATAATATATCCTGGGGATTACAATGTCCAATCCATATAAAATTAATACTGTACTACTTAACATAAAATGTTGAAGTCATGCATTGACACAAATCCACGTCCCCCAGCTCAAGACTTTATACTATAATTGTTTTATATATTACATCCATGTATGTTATAAACCCCACAAAACTATAATTATTGCTTTAAACACATTATAAAGAAACTAAAGAAAAATGTCAAAAAGAAAGTCATTTGCATTTGCCCAGAGATAACTTCCTTTAGCATTTCTTATAGTGCTTGTCTGCCAGTGATGAATTCTCTAAGTATGCTTTATCTAAAAATGTAATCTTTTAGTTCCCTTTCATTCTTGATGGGTATTTTTGCCAGATATAGAATTCTGTATAACACTCCCTCCTCTTGTGTGTACTTCTCCCCCTGCTTCCAGAGTCTGTCAGTTTCCATTCACTCACCAGCATCTTCAGGTATCTGCTTTTTCTATTCTTTCCAAGTTTTAGAGTTGCTTTCTTTGAGGGATTTGGTTAAATAGAATATAGCTCTAGCATTATTAAATTGACCACATTGATTTCGTCAATCCTCCAGTTTATTGAGGTGTAATTTATATACAGTAAAATTCACCTCACGCTGATTTTTAAAATATACTAAGTTTTATTTTATTTTTTCCTTTACTGATATTTAGAGGGAGGGGAAGGGAGAGGAAAAAAGAGACAGAAAGAAACATCAATGAGGGAGAGCATCAACTGGCCACCTCCTGCATGCCTCCCACTGGGGATTGGGCCCACAACCTGGGCATGTGCCCTGACCAGGAATCGAACTGGCGACCTCTTGGTGCATGGGTCGACACTCAACTACTGTGCCGCACTGGCCGGGCTAAAATATACTGAGTTTTAAATAAACTGTCCTGACTGTAAATACACACATGCAATACTTTCAAAGTAGTTTTTGGAGTGATTTTCCAGTTTAATTGCTCTCTGAATTTATTAGCGAATATTAATACAGCAGAGGGGACAAAAGCTCACATATATTCCCTAGCCCTCTCCATCTGCCTCTGGCCCCTCCTCAGAACACAACATCAAGCATCTCCAGTGGCCACTCTGCTCTGGACTCGCAGTCGGAGTGCCAACTAATCTCAATGTGGTTTTGAAGAGGTCAAACACTATACCATGTTTTAAGTTTACCCAAGAAAATAAATACCAATCTCAATGGCTATGTAGGCCTTAAAGAGCCATATATATATTCTTAGTAAATTCCTAAAGGGCTTCATCATACTCTTAGTAAATCCTAAACTATATGTTATAAATAATGAGGGACTACAGAGACCTATAATACACATTAGTAGGAGATACAACTAACCTTTTTTTGGACTTTTTTCTTTGGTGTGACCTTTTTAGTAGAACTTTCCTTCTTGGGGACTGGAGTACGTCCAGTTGGTTTAGTCCGTCCTGGTTTCTTGGTCTGCTGTGTTGGTAATGCTACAACAAGTTTCTTTGCAGACTGCATTGACTGCTGGGTTTCTTTGGAATGGGAAGACTTCCTTTTTGTTGTGGTCTTTGTAGTGGAAACTGAGTGGAAAAAAACATAACACAAAAATAAAGTTAAATGACATAATTAAGGTATTGTTTACATATGCCTCAAAATAAATTAAAATCAATCTTTAAAAACATTCCAAAAGTTATTCACTGAAAACCACTTAAAGGTATCATTTAAAATGAAGTTTTAGGTATTTAAGATTTCTTATTATCAGAAAATAATCCAATTCTCCAGAAAAAATAAAGAGGCTTTTATAAGAGGAGCCAGAAACTTTAAAGTTAGCAGTGTGAAAATTTCTATTTACCTTTTGGCTGCTTTTCATATTTTTAGCTCTTAGCACAGAAAAGAGTTTCTCCTTCAGAAAATACTATCCAATTATACCATACGCAGGAATCACTTTGCCCATCAATATAGAAAAACATAAAGGAACTACCGATGGCTCCTGCTTCATCTTTCAGAGGCAGGGGAATCCCCTGCACTTGATTTTTTAATGGCTAAGGCACATTATGTTCTTATATGTATATCTAATAACAAAGCTTCATATACTACAATCTAGACTCTATATTAACATTGTCATAGAAGGACCACCACCAAACAAAGTGATTTATATCTACTAGTTACTTGGTAGCTCAATCCAGACAGTTTTAATATTTCAAATGACAATTATCTGCCACGTTACTTTAGTCTATGTCCACAATTAAACAGATATTTTAATATTAATACCCTAATAACTTCATTACAAAAAATGAATTTTATACATAATAATAAGTACTAATGTCAAGCAAAAATATTTATACGATGAGCTGTATAAGTAAAACATTTATACATCTATGCAAAAATCAACTACTTTTATCGAGAGCTTCATTTTACAGCTTAAAACCAATCTACCGCTTTGCTCCTCCCATATGCAAAGACTATGTGTAGGTCTGCCCGATCTTTGATGAAGAATACCACATCTTCTCTGTAGCCTTTTTATCTACCTTCTATTACTTACCATGCCAAAAAGATAGAACAGTTTTCTCTCAGCTGTCCTGGCAAATGAAGAACCACTTAATTGCCACCATCAGTTCCCCCCTTATTTAGAGTAATTCATCTACTTACAACACACTCTTCTTACCTCTTTACCATCATCTACCTCAATCTCCATGCTCACTTCCACTTTCTTCAATAACTCAAGTAACCAAATTCACATGATTTCTTCTTACAGTCTCCCTATCATCATCTTTAGGAATTTAACCATCATCCTTGTCATACTTCATCATCCTGACCTCATCATTGAAGATTTCAGCTCCTCCCTAAAATGGTTATACTTAGCAATTTCTGGAACTCTTCTATCTCCAAGATAACCAACTTTGCCCCCTTTCTCTATCTCCAACTTCCTTACCTGTCATCTTTGCTTCATACCAACTGACCATGCTTTTCTTTTTTCTTTTCCTCATCTGAGGACATGTTTATTGATTTTAGAGAGGGAGGGAGAGAGAGAGAGGGAGGGAGGAAGAGAGAGGGAGGGAGGGGGGTGAAGAGAGAGAGAGAAAAACATACATTGATGTGAGAAACATTGATTGGTTGCCTATTATACCCGCCCCAACCAGGGATTGAACCCACAACCTTTTGTTGTACAAGGTGATGCTCCAACCAACTGAGATACCCAGCCAGGGCCTAACCGTACTTTTCATTCTCTTTATGAGATCTAGCTACAAGCCCTCTCCATTTCAACCCAATCTATTAGCTTTCTTCTGGCTTTACTCCTTATCAACCTGCACCCAACTGTCCACCTCCACCAACACCCCTCTAACTAGTATCACTTACTTTATTACCCTTTAATCTTTGACTATGTCCTGCATGTCAGCTCCCACCTCTAAATCACACTAGAAATAATTTTCTCTGGTCCTGAGCTATAAGGGCCAACAACCTTTTTCTATAAAGGATCAGAGAGTAAATATTTTAGGTTATAAAGGCCATATATACAATCTCTGTCAGATTCTTTTTTGTTCGTCTTTTTAAACCCTTTGCGAATATAAAAACTGTTCTTAGCTCACACGCTACATGGGCTAGAGGTGGCCCTTGGGTTGTAGTTTGCCAGCTCCTACTAGAGAACATTAGAATATTATTGATGATTATACAATCCATGCTAACTTCAAATGGGGTGTCACTGATCTCCAAGTATACTTCCATGAAAGAATGATTTTCCCTGTTTAAGTTCCCATCTCCCTCTCACCCTATTCCATTCAGCAAACAACCTTACTTTCTACTACATAAGAAGGTTAAAGGCTATCTTTTGGGAGTGATCATAATCATCTCATTTCTTCACCTTAAAATACTTTTATTTTCATTCATTCTCATCTCTTCCCCTTGTATCAAATGAAAAGTTTTATATCTACTCTTCTAAGTCTGATAACTCCTAATAAATATATTCTATAGTTCTTCTTGGACATTATGGTTTCAATTATCTCCTCTATCTTCATGGTATTCCATTACTTGAGCCCCAACTCCTTGCTCTTGTGTAACACTCACATGTCCTTTATTGTGAAGTTACCTCCTCTAGTTTCTGGTATACTTTTAAGCCCTTGCATGAATCCTCCTTCTACTTCCTACCAAAATACCAAGAAAAATCACTTATAATTGATACTTCAATTTCCTTATTATTATGTTCCTTTGTCCCCTGCAATAACTGTTTCTTCTCCCAAACATATTGTAAAGATGTTACTTCTAAGGTTACTAATGACCCATTCCTAGTTACTAAAGCCATATAAATCCTTACCTCACGACAGCCTATTCATCTCCACAGTTCTGGTCCAAGCTGACTTAGCAGAACATAATCATAAAAGCATCTCTACTGTGCAAGCAGTTGACTGTCAGAGACACACAGTATTTCATTCATAGTAGCAGAGGCACTCTCTGTCCTGGCCTGACACTGCCCACATCTCAATCCTGCCTCACATAGATAGGTCTCTGCCTATCACTCTTCCTTTTATCATGGCTTAAAGATTTCTCTACAATACTGGTTTTTCACCTTCTCACTTTCCTACTGTGCCCAAAAGAAGCATAAAAGTCCTTTTTAAGCCCCCCTTCATTTAAAAAGATTTATTTGTTTTACAACTAATCACTACAATGGAAAAGATGGTAAACACTGGAAAAGTTACAAAGGAAAACAAGGTCTCTAATTTTTATTAGTAGCTGTCCTGGTTTTTATGGAAATGAGACTTGCCTTTTCATCTTTTAACCCTCTGGACCATGCACCAAGTTACCCATTCTAACCTGCTCAGTTCCCTGCTGAGTTATCAAACAGCGGTGGTATAGTAGGCATGGTCAGACTCCAATAGCGTAAACAAGTCCAGCCCTGTTGCCTAAACTCCTCACTGTCCTTCCTGAGTCTCCTTGATGACCCAGATAGGTTTCCTTCTCAATACTAAGAAACGTAGTTTTACAGTATTAAAAAATACCTTAAACATATAATAAAAAGTAACTCCCAGAGAGAAATAAATCATTCACTCAAAAAAGTAAAGATCTGCTTTTGGAGTCTGATAAAACATCCCAATTTGAGAAGTGGTGCTAAGTCTTTTCCAGCAGTCTTTAAAAGAATGATGTCTGGACAACTAAACCAAAACCAAATATACTGAAAGAATCTGAAGCTTTGATCCACTGCCCTCACCCCCTTTTCAAAACAGGGCTTAGACAGCTAAAATAAACAGATTAATGAAGAGAGAAAAAAACTCTTCATAAACATTATAAAACATACTGTGATTTGCACAGAATATTCTATCTTAAGGTTATTGAAAAATTGTAAAAATGTTACGGGAAAGAAATTCCCAAACACAATTGAAAGGTTAACGGATAGCTCTCTAACTTAAAATACAAAAGTCCAGTTAAGTTGTTTATCTCCATACCTAAATGACAGTGCCTCTTTTCTTGACATCCATGCTAAATTAAAATAAGAAAATCTAATTTAGTAGAAGTTACATGGTTTCCCTACCCTGTTTCATAAAAATTGAAAAACAAGCTAGAAATCAGTTAGAATTTAGAAGGGCTTTAATTTCAGAGTGTTTTTAAAAATATGCTTGTTTTCTACTTGCCAATCATAGATGCTTTATACACTACTCTCTTCCACTTCATGGGGGTGCTTCCCATGAAGATTTTTTTTTTCCACAATTCCTACTCATAGCTACTCACTTCAAAAGAACCAACATTTTGGTCATAATAATATTAAAGAAGATGACCATTTCAAAATTGTTTACATGAAAAGAAGCAACTTAAGTTGTTCCAACTAATATCATCTAACAATACTGAGTCTTTAAAAGACATTCAGTTTTTAAACCATAGCATTTTTTCTTATTGAATGACTTTTATAGAGTGACTTCCATTGTGTTAAGAACAATCATAACAGTCACTGCTATAATTTCCACAAAACACATTAAATGTATTGACATGATATTTAATTGTAAAATATGTTATACACATTACTGTGTCATAAAAATACTTTTACTAAGTCTCATGTAATACCAGTAAAATTATGTTATATTCCTCAAAGCTACAGAAAAAAATCTGGCACCACTTTTTATTACAAACTGTAGGTTTAAATGATCAAGTCTAACTTAAAATAGGGTTGTTCCTTTTTTTATTTAAACCATTTTTATGGTGGAAATAACCAAAGACTGACTCTCCCCTTGTATCATAAAACAATTTTTAGAAGTGACTAATCAAATAATAGCACTAACAATTTCAATAAGTAGTATTTATAAAACAGAATTTTTGAGGTAACAGAAATGACTAGGATGTTTAGTATACAAAAGCTGACAAAGCAGACAATGAATTTCTTTAACCACACTTCAACTACAATATAAAGAAACTTTGGGATTAATCCTACCTTTGAAAATATTCCAGAGAAACAAATTATTGCTGCATTTACCATTAAGGTGATTTAGGTTCCACTCAACAGCCTTCTCCTTTACCAGGAATAAAACTGCCTTTCTGAAGAAAGCACGTCAACAACAAAGCCCATGTTGCCTGAGCAAGCCTGAATTTCTAGCAAATG